CTCTCATCATTGATGTTTCTATCTCTCTCTCTCCCTCTCCTTTCCTCTCTGAAGTCAATTAAAAATATATATTTGGTGGGGGGCGAGGGGGAGAGCCTTACATAAAGGAAATGGTTAACAATAACAGTCAATGGCTAAATTTATTTTTCTGAAGACTTGAGTTTTGGTGAATGAGAGTCACTTTGTCAAGTAAAAATTACAGCATTCTTTGGAAACAAAACAAAAAAACAACTCTACCAAGGACCACTGAACACATTTGGTGAGTACTACCAGCTGAGCAATAAGGAAAAACCAATTTGGACATATATTTAAAATAACTCAGTATTTGAATAATCAGAGGGCCCTGGGAAAGCTTGTTTGAAGAGTAACAAGATAAAAATGCTATCCATGACACAGAACTGGCCTAAACCTATAAAAGGCCCCAGTGGAATAAGCAGCCTTAACTCAGAAACTCCTCCGAACAACCCATCTCTCAACCCAACTACTGACACCATGGCCTGCTGTCAAACTAGCTTCTGTGGATTTCCCAGCTGCTCCTGTGGGACCTGTGGCTCCAGCTGCTGCCAGCCAACCTGCTGCCAGACCAGCTGTTGCCAGCCGACCTGCTGCCAGACCAGCTGCTGTGGGACCGGCTGTGGCACTGGCGGTGGCCAGGATTGTGGCTGTGGAGGTGTGAGCTGCCGCACCAGGTGGTGCCGCCCTGACTGCCGCGTGGAGGACACCTGCCTGCCCCCCTGCTGCGTGGTGAGCTGCACGCCCCCAACCTGCTGCCAGCTGCACCATGCCCAGGCCGCCTGCTGCCGCCCATCCTACTGTGGACAGTCCTGCTGCCGCCCAGCCTGCTGCTGCTACTGCTGCGAGCCCACCTGCTGAAAAACCTCCTTCTGATGGGAATCCTGAGAAAATGGCACATCCAAACTAACCAATGTTCGAGTCTCAACAAACTTCTGAACTCTAAATACTCATGACCCAGCTTGCAACCTCTTGTCACAAAGCTGTGTAATTTCCCTAAGATGTAAAATAATGTATAACAGAAGACCAAAGTATTTCATAGACCTGGATATCAACCGAAGTCCTACAATCTGAAAAGACGGCATGATAGGTTACCATCAATATCTCCTGAAAAACTTCAACAGCTCATTGGGTTTGGAATTGAATAAAAATTTTCATTCTTCAGTGATGAAGTCATTGTTGAAGAGTTCTTTTCTTTTAAACTTGTTATTGATACTGGGATTTTCCAATATCTCAATAAATGTGGCATAGCACTGTGGGTTTTCATTACTATGCCTTTAATAATGGTCTTTTAAAAGGGGGTTTTTCTTTGTTTTGCCACTAAGTGGTCCAATATTCTGCAGCCAAAATATATGATTAAAAGGATTTCACCTCAATGTTTTAAAAAGTCAAAGAGATAGAATTCTCCACTAGCACAACATTACAAGAATGACACAGCTTGTTGAGCCTACAGCTCTTTGTGTGAAAAATAAGGTTCTACTTTCTCTAAGTGGACATACCCCATCAGGGCACGCCTACACATGCATGTACAACACCTCTATTCCCTCCTCTACCACTCTCCTGGCTCCCATTATGTTGGGATGACTTAGACTAAATGCAGCTTTTACTTACGATGGCTTCATCTCAGAAACACCAACATGAGCCCGGTTGGAGCTCAGGAGAGAAGAGAAAAATCTAGTTACATGATTTAGGATAAAAAGTTGAGGGTGTTCATTGTTTGGTGCATCAACCATGTCTTACCTCTCAGGCATTTAAGGAAGGCAGCTGCAGCTGATGCAGAGAACTGATTAAATGGAGCTTAAGAAATTGAAAGAATACCCAAAACTTATAACTAGAAAATGGAACCCTGACATCTTAAAGAAAAATAATTCAATACATTAGTATCTATAAAAAATTGAGAATAACATCCTCTCTTCTTATAGTTCTGGAATTGTCTGGGCACCATAACTTAAATGAAATCATTAAAATCAAAAGGAACAGGCATAAGAATTTTAAAAAGCTTTAAGTGTAAGCTGGTATTCCCCTCCCCACTCCCCCCCAAAAAAGACCAGCAATAGGGTATCCAGCATTGAAACAGAATAGAAAATCTACACAGGGGGAGATCACAAATGATTAAACTTCTTACTCTATTTGTATGAGAACCAATCAGGAAGCAAGGGAATTAAGTGGTAAGACAAAAATCTTGATTTTCTTTCTTTATTAGGAAATGTAAGGGAATATTCAAATTAGTCTTCATTCTGTGGCAGAGAGGTAAAATTGTCAAATTTTAAGCATCATACATACGTGATGGTTAATTTTATGTCTCAAGTTGATTGGGCTAAGGCAGTGGTTGGCAAACTGCGGCTTGGCAAACCGCGGCTCACAAGCCACATGCAGCTCTTTGGCCCCTTGAGTGTGGCTCTTCCACAAAATACCACGTGCGGGCGCACACGTACAGTGCGATTGAAACTTCGTGCCCCTTGCACAGAAGTCGGTATTTTGTGGAAGAGCCACACTCAAGGGGCCAACGAACCGCATATGGCTCTCGAGCCGCAGTTTGCCGACCACGGGGCTAAGGGATAAGCAGATAACATTATTTCTGGGTGTGACTATGAGAGTGTTTTCAGAAGAGATTAGCATTTGGCCTGCAGACTGAGTAAAAAAGATGAACCACCCTCACCAACACAGCCAGTCATCAATTAATCCACTGAGGGCCCGAATAAAACAAAAAAGGCAGAAGGGCAAATTTGCTCTCTTGCTCGAGTTGGGACATCTGTCTTCTTCTGCCCTCAGATCAGTGTTCCTAGTGGGACTTCTCAGCCTCCATAGTTGTATGAGCCAATCCCGCATAATAAATACATATATTTTCACTAATATGTATGGGGTGGGCAAAGGTAGGTTTATAGTTGTCCATATGAAAAAGACATTCCGGTTATGATTACTATAGTAGCTTTACTAACTCAAAAAAATGTCACTCACAACCTGCTTTTTCCCACTCCTGAATTTATGTATCTTGTTGGGTGTCTGTCCCTGGAGAATCCTGACTAAAACATCTTATTCTTAGTAATTCTCTAAGGACAACTACAGATCAGAAACATGAAAACTGAGTTAAATTTTGCAGTGAGAAAGATGTTGAAAGCAATGCCATGGTAGAGAAGCACAGACACGGAAATATATAATGCTACTCTATCACTAGTGCCCTTGTCAATATGAATTTTAACTCCTCAAACATCTGAAATGTGTGCAAGGGGAGGTAAGTCATTTTAGTATCAAAGATTCTGCTAAATTTAGGTATGAATTAGCTCCTGAGACTGTAGTAACGAGAAATCCACATATTTAAAACATCCAACGTGGAAATATTAGCTAATCAAAGAATCAGTGATACAAACCATCCCACCACGGTTCCGCTCTCGTCGGGGCCCATTGGGACTGGCAGCACCACTACTGCTGCCCGCTGCCAGCACCGCAATGCCTGCCATGTTCTGCGCCACCCTCTGCTGGTCAGCATACATCAAAGTGAGCAGTCGAACTCCCAGTCTTCTGATTGAACTCCTGGTCAAACTACCGCTCAAGGGGACAATTTGCATATTAGCATTTTATTATATAGGATATCAAATCATTATGTTGTACACTTAAAACTAATACAATATTATATGTCAATCATATCTCAATTTTAAGAAAAGAACATTTAAATCTATAGAAGAGCCTAAAATCAAAGATTGGATGAAGTCACAAGTCAAGTAGTCACAAGTCACGTTAACTCTTTCAGCACTTAAGATTTTCTTGAAGTATACCTATTATATAGTTTTTAAAAATAAAATCTCCTGCCTAGATGGCGTGGCTCAGTGGTTGTGCATTGACCTATGACCCAAGATGTCACAGTTTGATTCCTGGTGAGAGCACATGCCCGGATTGTGGGCTCGATCCCCTGTAGAGGGTGTTCAGGGGGCTGCTGATCAATGATTCTCTCTCATCATTGATATTTCTATCTCTCCCTCCATCTCCCTTTCTTTCTGAAATCAATAAAAAAAATTTAAATTAAATAAAATCTCCAGAGAAATCTCTAATCACAGAGTTATTACTCATGTTAAACTCTGTCTTTCCTCCCTCTACTCTCCAAAAGCCTGTAAGAAATAGGGCAAATTTCCATTGGTTTTCCCTAGAACACCTGCTTACATGGAAAAGACTGTAATGATTGAAAGTTTAGCCTGGAGTTAGATGGCATGGTTCAAATTTCAGATTCACCATTTGTTAGCATGAACTTGGGTGAATGACTTAAATCTGTTTGTGGCTCACTGTCCTCGTAGAAATGGTATAAAAGCAATGATACCTACCCTGTAGGGTTGCTGGGAAAATTAAATGAATTGATGCAAGCAAAGTACTCAGAACTGTTTGGACACATAAGTGTTTCAAAAATGTTTTCAGTACCAACTCATCCATATTTCCCAGCCCCTGATGAAAGCATCCCATTCTGGCCGCTGAATCACTCTGCTGCTCTGGCAAAGTGAAGAAAAGAAAGGGTAGGGAAGGGGCAGCTGTATACATTGGAGGCCACATGGCTGAGCATCCAACTGTCATGTGAGACCCAAGAGCTCAATTACTAGGGTCAACATTGAGTAATATTGACACTCCTTAAAGGTGAGGCATCAGCCAATTATTCTTTGGGCAATGAGCAGATTGTAACGAATACGGGAAATTAGGGGTTACGTACTCAGTGAACACTAATGACTACTGGGCCACGGTAAAGAATCCTAATTGAAGACCAAATAAAATAAACCTTTAAAGGCTTTCAGAAGGTTGCACAAATAACTCAGGGACAGGGCAATTATCACTCAGAAACAAGTTATTTAAACAAAAACAAGGAAGAGACTTTGGGAATTATGTAAATAATAGCTGGCCAAGGCTTATAAAAGGCCCGATGTAGAAGTTATCACCAAACCTAAAAAATTTCTCCAAGCAACCCACCTCTCAATCCAACTCCTGACACCATGGCCTGCTGTCAAACTAGCTTCTGTGGATTTCCCAGCTGCTCCTGTGGGACCTGTGGCCCCAGCTGCTGCCAGCCAAGCTGCTGCCAGCCAACCTGCTGCCAGACCAGCTGCTGCCAGCCAACCTGCTGCCAGACCAGCTGCTGTGACAGGCTGTGCTGCCAGACCAGCTGCTGCCAGCCAACCTGCTGCCAGACCAGCTGCTGCCAGCCAACCTGCTGCCAGACCAGCTGCTGCCAGCCAACCTGCTGCCAGACCAGCTGCTGCCAGCCAACCTGCTGCCAGACCAGCTGCTGCCAGCCAACCTGCTGCCAGACCAGCTGCTGCCAGCCAACCTGCTGCCAGACCAGCTGCTGCCAGCCAACCTGCTGCCAGACCAGCTGCTGCCAGCCAACCTGCTGCCAGACCAGCTGCTGCCAGCCAACCTGCTGCCAGACCAGCTGCTGCCAGCCAACCTGCTGCCAGACCAGCTGCTGCCAGCCAACCTGCTGCCAGACCAGCTGCTGCCAGCCAACCTGCTGCCAGACCAGCTGCTGCCAGCCAACCTGCTGCCAGACCAGCTGCTGCCAGCCAACCTGCTGCCAGACCAGCTGCTGCCAGCCAACCTGCTGCCAGACCAGCTGCTGCCAGCCAACCTGCTGCCAGACCAGCTGCTGCCAGCCAACCTGCTGCCAGACCAGCTGCTGCCAGCCAACCTGCTGCCAGACCAGCTGCTGCCAGCCAACCTGCTGCCAGACCAGCTGCTGCCAGCCAACCTGCTGCCAGACCAGCTGCTGCCAGCCAACCTGCTGCCAGACCAGCTGCTGCCAGCCAACCTGCTGCCAGACCAGCTGCTGCCAGCCAACCTGCTGCCAGACCAGCTGCTGCCAGCCAACCTGCTGCCAGACCAGCTGCTGCCAGCCAACCTGCTGCCAGACCAGCTGCTGCCAGCCAACCTGCTGCCAGACCAGCTGCTGCCAGCCAACCTGCTGCCAGACCAGCTGCTGCCAGCCAACCTGCTGCCAGACCAGCTGCTGCCAGCCAACCTGCTGCCAGACCAGCTGCTGCCAGCCAACCTGCTGCCAGACCAGCTGCTGTGGGACCGGCTGTGGCACTGGCTGTGGCCAGGATTGTGGCTGTGGAGGTGTGAGCTGCCGCACCAGGTGGTGCCGCCCTGACTGCCGCGTGGAGGACACCTGCCTGCCCCCCTGCTGCGTGGTGAGCTGCACGCCCCCAACCTGCTGCCAGCTGCACCATGCCCAGGCCGCCTGCTGCCGCCCATCCTACTGTGGACAGTCCTGCTGCCGCCCAGCCTGCTGCTGCTACTGCTGCGAGCCCACCTGCTAAAAGCCAACTTAATGATTTTCAACCTGAAGTTTCAACTTCCAACTCAATCCATGAACTAATTATTTCTTCAACCATTCCTGGACTACTAACAAGTTCTGGAACTTTTATTGACTTTTGTTGTGGGAGTTAGCAAATACTTGAGCCTTGCAGACCTGATCCCCCCACTGAGGCTGCCAAAATGCAAATATGACTCAAGAAATGGGAAAACCAATTTGCATTGGGCTTGACCTTCAGCAAGTATTTGATCCCATGCTCCAGGACTCAGTGCTGCCGAAGCCGGGGAAGAACTATCTATACTTCTTAGACGCGTTCACCTCCTCTACTCTACCATCCTTCAAACTGCACTTCCCATAAAAGAGGAATACTATACTAAGGCCTAATAAATTATATTTATTTGGTGCAGCAGACATATCTCCTTTTCTTCATTGAGTGTACTCATGATGTATTGGTATATTTCATAGAAAGTTATGCAAAATATTTTAATCTGCTTTTGCTACCCCACACTGCTCTTCTTATACAATGTTAGGAAAATTTTTGATGAGATCCATAAAAAACATCCAGAAAAGGCAGTTCTAGGGCCTCAGAAATGGCACAGCTCTATGACCAAGTCCTGACCTCACACAGTGCTTTCACAACCAGAAAGCTACAGAAGCCAGGACCTCTGAATCTAGCGCCAGAATATGAGTCATTTTTTCACATCTGTTAAGGGAATGCTCTTTCAGGCAATCTTCTAACACTGGTAATATATGCTAGTAAATCCCACTCTTCCATTTATATGTGGTCTTGCAGAATAAAGCAAGAGAACTACAAGTTGGAGAAATATGCTTTTAATTAGATGGAGATTTTTACTCCAAAAACTTTTCTTCCCTAATTTCTGAACTGAAAGTGAGGATAACAAAGATTTTGCTCTATTTTTAGAATCAACATATTGTATATTGGCTTAAAATGTATGCTTAACAAAAATACATATGTATTATACATATACATGCATTTATATATAATATTTATATACAATGAATTTAAACACAAGTATCGCAGAATATTTCACAAATTTTTGAGAAAGGATCAGGATTAATTCATGGTTTCTTGGGATTAGAACTGGATGAGACTGAAGGTATTCTTTTCTATTAAGAACTAGAGGCCTGATGCACAAAAATTTGTGCCCTGGGGGTAGGGTGTCCCTCAGCCCAGTCTGCCCCCTCTCACAGTCTGGGAGCCCTCAGGGGATGTTCTACTGACAGCGTAGGCCCGCTCCCCACAGGGACCAGGCCTAAGCCGCAGTCTGGCCTCCCTCTGTGGGAGGTGGCCTGGCAAATCAGGGGAAGGCACCGCCCCCATAACCCTGTTGCTGCTGCCACTGCCAGGCGCTGCAGCTGTGCCAGCCCTCCTCAGCCCTCGCGGCCACTGTGGCTCTGTCAGGAAGGACATCCGGTCTATCCAGTCTAATTGGCATATTACCCTTTTATTAGCATAGATATTACTTTGGCCCTGACTGGGTGGCTCAGTTGGTTGGAATGTCATCCTGTACACCAAGAGGTTTCAAGTTTGATTTCCAACCAGAGCACATACCTAGGTTGCAGGTTCAATTGCCCATTGGGTTGCATACAGGAGGTACCAAATGATGTTTCTTCCTCTTTATCTCTCTCTCCCCCTTCCTCTCTATCTAAAATCAATAAACATAGCCTCAGGTGAGGATAAAAAAGAAAGAATGTTACTTTGGTTAAAATTCCAATGCTTTATTCATTTATAGGCTAATAAAAATCAAGTAACTAGAAAGCATGAATAAAGAATAACATGTAAGCAAAGAATCACTTACCCTGATGCAGCACCTAGAAACCTGATCCAATCCAGAAAACACCCCTTGAACACCAGAACAGAAAGGAAGACAATAAATAAATAAACAAACAAACAGACAGACAAGTGACTTTGGTAGGAGGCAAATTCGGCTGTTTATCATTACCAGACATTGCTCATCATTCATTCCCTCTTTAATTCAACAAGTGCACACTGAGCATGGACATGCAGATGGTGCAGAAGGTACTATCTAGGAAACCAAGGCGAACCAGGCATGGGCAGATCATGCCCTTAAGGAACCAATGATCTGGTGGAGCAATAGCACCATTTCCGCCCTGGAGGTGTCTGAGAAAGCATCTCATCTTACAGATGAGCAAACCAATGCTCAGAGGGACTAAGTGACTTTTCTGAGGTTCAGTCACTTAATGGTAGAACCAGTTTGCGAAGCCTCTTTGGTTGAATTAATTTCTCAGTTAAGAGCTCAGTTCCCTACATCATGTGACCACCTCTAATCACCTAACTCTGGCCTTGTCTAAAGTTACTTTCAGCTTAAAATTCTATGATTTTTTAAAATTCAAAAAGCACAAACTAAAAACAATTGAGATTTTATCAGTAGGGGATGACTGAAGAGAGTGTGGTGTGATCATACTCAGGAATACCACATAGCTATTTAAAAGAAACAATAATAGTATGTACAGGATAGGTCAACAAATTGGATAATCTGGATGAAATGGGTAATTCCTATCGAAACTGAATCATGGAAATATACAAATATGAACAGAGTTATCGCTAAGAAGGAGACTGAATCAGTAATAAACAACCTCCTAAAAGAGAAAATCCCAGTATCAGACGGCTTTATTGATGAATTCTACCAAACACTTAAAGAAAATGAAAGAAGGGGAAACACTTCCAAACTCATTCTATGAAGCCAGCATTACCCTATACCAGCCGTGGGCAAACTACGGCCCGCGGGCTGGATCCGGCCCGTTTGAAATGAATAAAACTATTGAAAAAAAAGACAGTACCCTTTTATGTAATGATGTTTACTTTGAATTTCTATTAGTTCACACAAACCCTCCATCCATGCTTTTGTTCCGGCCCTCCGGTCCAGTTTAAGGACCCATTGTGGCCCTCGAGTCAAAAAGTTTGCCCACCCCTGCCCTATACCAAAGTCAGACAGACACTATAAGAAAAAATTACAGACCAATATCCCTGATTAATATTGATGCAATATCCCTTGACAAAATACTATCTAACAGAATTCAAAAGCACATTAAAGGATATACACCATGACCAAGTAGATTTTCAACATATAAAAATCATTCAATCCAATACATCACATAGCAGAATGAAGGGGGGGAACACATGCTTATCTCAATAGATGCAGAGAAAACATTTGATGAAATTCAAGTCTTTCATGATTAAAAAGAAAAACTCAACAAACTAAGAATAGAAGGAAACTATCTCTGCATAATAAAAGTCATATATGAAAAGCCCACACCAACATCATACTCCATGGTGAAAGATGACGTGTCTTTTTTTTTAAATAAAATGTTATTTTATTGTTGAGAGTATTACAGAGATCCCCCAATTATCCCCACTTTACCCACCTTCTCCCAGCCCCTGCCCCACCCCAGGCATTCACCACACTATTGTCTGTGTCCTTTGGTTATGCATATATGTATATGAGTTCTTTGGTTAATCAATTCCTGTCTCCCCCCGCCCCCCCTGCACTCCCCTCTGGGACATGTCAGTCTGTTCCATGCCTCCCTGTCTCTGGACCTATTTTGTTCATCTGTTTATTATATTTATTAGATTCCACTGTGAAATCATATGATATTTGTCTTTCTCTGACTGGCTTATTTCACTTAGCATATTATTCTCCAGATCCCTCCATGCCGTTGCAAAGGGTAAGAAAGCCTTTTTTACAGCTGCACGGTATTCCGTTAAATGTACTACAGCTTTTTTATCCACTCGTCTACTGATGGACACTTGGGCTGTTTTCAGACCTTAGCTATTGTAAATAACACTGCTATGAACATGGGAGTGCATATATTCTTTCTGATTGGTGTTTGGGCCTTTTTAGGATATATTCCTAGAAGTGGGACCACTGGGTCAAATGGTGGTTCCATTTTTAATTTTTGAGTAAATTTCATACTGTTTTCCATAGTGGATGCACCAGTCTGCCTTCCCACCAGCAGTGTACTAGCGTTCCCTTTTCTCAACATCTTTGCCAGCATATGTTATTTGTTGCTTTTTAAATCTGCCACCTATTAATATGGAATGGTCTGCTCTTTCTTCGGTTTCTCCTTGCCCTTTGTGTATGCGGGCCAGTTTGCAAACCAAAAGAGTATTAACCATATAGCCAAAGGTAGAAGCAACCCAAGTGTGCGTTGATGGATGAATGGATTAAAAAAAACTGAGGTATATACATACAGTGGATATTACAGATGTCAGAGGGGTGGCAGAGGGGAGACTGGGTGAAAGAAGGTGAAAAGGTTAGCCAAAGAACATATAGGCAGAGCTCATGGACACAGACAATAGTGTGGTGAAGGCCAGGAGGAGGAGTGGGGAGGGGCTGGGTCAGCCGTGGGCAAACTACGGCCTGCGGGCTGGATCCGGCCCGTTTGAAATGACAAAACTAAAAAAACAAAACAAAACAAAACAAAAAGACCGCACCCTTTTATGTAATGATGTTTACTTTGAATTTCTATTAGTTCACACAAACACTCCATCCATGCTTTTGTTCCGGCCCTCCGGTCCAGTTTAAGAACCCATTGTGGCCCTCGAGTCAAAAAGTTTGCCCACCCCTGGGCTGGGTAGAGACAGGCAAAACAGGGGTGAGTGAATAGGGGACATCTGTAATAGTGTCAACAATAAAATTTTAAAAAGGAAGTTCTGACACAACATGGATGACTCTTAGAATACAAGCAAGTCACAAAACAGACAAATACTGGATGATCTTACTTGTATGAGGTAACAAGAGTAGTCAAATTCATCAAAACACAAAGTAGAATGGTGGTTGCCAAGGGTTTGGGGAGGAGAGAAGCAGAAAGTTGTTTAATGGATAAAGAATTTCTGTTTTGCAAGATAAAAAGAATTCACAATGTGAATTTACATAACACTAGTGAGCTGTACTCTTAAAATGGTTAAAATGATAAATTTTATGTGTATTTTACAATTAAGTTGTTTAAAAAATAGTATAGCCCTACCTGGTTTGGCTCAGTGCATAGAACGTCAGCCTGTAGACCAAAGGGTCCCAGGTTTGATTCCGGTCAAGGGCGGGCTCAATCCCCAATAGGGGGCGTGCAGGAGGCAGCCAAACAATGATTCTCTCTCATCATTGATGTTTCTATCTCTCTCTCCCTCTCCCTTCCTCTCTGAAATCAATAAAAATATATTTAAAAAAATAAGTAGTATAGGAGACCCCGACTACTGAATTATAAGATCTATGTGCATAGATGCTGCTTCATGTTGACAAAAACAGAAAGAAAGGTACTGAAGAACAGGTACCAAACTTAATATTGATTATCTCCTGGAATACTACTTTTGGAAGGGATGTGTGTATTTTGGGACAGGGAGGGAAAATATTAACTTTTGGTACTGCTTGACTTGTTAAAGTGTGTGTTCATTACTGGCATATATTCTTAATACAGTACAGTCAGAAAACAATTTACAAGCTAAAGTCATTAGGGTCTCAGTTGGGAATATGTTCATTGACAATGAAGACAAATGCCCGCTAGAGCTCTGAGGATCCTGAAACTTGCACACTCTGATCACAGAAAGGCACACTTCTTTTGGATACTGATGAACCAAGTGAGTGCTCATGTCTTAATGACACTAATGTTAGTTATTCAAGTCTAGACAACGTGTTTATGAATCATGAGCCTAATTGAGTGACCACCTACAAAGAAAATGTTCATTTAGATAGACTCTGCTTGAAAGTTATCAAAAGACAGATTCGACAAAGCAAGCCAGGGCAGTGGTTGGCTCAAGTGTGGTCCCTCATGTGACTAACACTAAGAGGAGCTGCCATGATTGGCTCCCACAATGAGTCTTCACTTGCCCCCCCCCCCCAGGGCAAAGAAGAAACATAATGAGACTTAATTGAGCAATGACCAAAGCAGGCTATTGAAATGCTATTTATAACTTTCTAAACAACTCAGGTGCTAGCCAATCAGAGACTGACTTTGCAAATAGTTTCAAGGAAAGATGCTAAACATTAGGAAAATAGGTGTCTCTGGGGACTATATAAAAGGCCAGATGTAGAAGGTGCAGCCAAAACTCAGAAACTTCTCTAAACAACATACCTCTCAACCCAACTCCTGACACCATGGCCTGCTGTCAAACTAGCTTCTGTGGATTTCCCAGCTGCTCCTGTGGGACCTGTGGCCCCAGCTGCTGCCAGCCGACCTGCTGCCAGACCAGCTGCTGCCAGCCAACCTGCTGCCAGACCAGCTGCTGTGGGACCGGCTGTGGCACTGGCTGTGGCACTGGCTGTGGCCTACTGTGGACAGTCCTGCTGCCGCCCAGCCTGCTGCTGCTACTGCTGCGAGCCCACCTGCTGAAAGGTTGCTGATTACTTAAGAATGAAAGGAGCAACTCAGGAAAACTGCCTTGATCTCTAAAGAAGTGTTCGACTTTACTTGGATGCTATGTATCTCGATGTTTCTAAGCCGCTCAGAAATCACAAGTCTTAGGCCCCTCTTGAGGGTGCTGAATTCTCCCACTGAAAACATGTATGAACCGTGTCAGATCAATGACAGCTCTGTCCTCCTCCCTATTTCGTGATCCCCACACATTTTCAGACCTGCTTTCTCCTTCAATACCTTGTTAATTTAAAATAAAATGTTTACTTGTGCTAAGCAAACTGAGTCATTTTCTTCCATCATTCAGCGTGTCCACCTTCAGCTGAAATTCAAGAGAAGTGGATGTGCACTTTGATAATAATCCTAAGGCACAAACAAAAAGTCTAAACCAGAAAAATACAAGTTATTTTATGCTCTCACCCATCAGTTAATGAGATGTTCCATGCATTAAATAATACTTGCAGTTATCCAAAAACTTACATGCTCCAAATCTATTATGATTAGGTCTAAACTAATAAGGCCACTTTTAACTAAAATGTTCAGGTTGATCAAAGCTATGGGATTTCTACCTAGATGTACTTCTACGACTTTTAATCTCCTTCCCTTTAATCTACTAGATGTTCTCCTTCATGTATGCCTAACAGCGAAAGAAACTGTAATGCTGTCTAAATAGATTTGACAGTATCTACCAGATACTATCAGACACTATTTTCCAAGAGCATTTAGGTTTTAATTCCTATGCCTTACCCTAATATATTCTTCCCACTGACCCCCAAATTGATCTCTATGCTTCAACTCCCAACACTCCCCTCCATTCTAAGTATGTATAAGGTGCATCACTGGTCTGAACGAAATTAGAATAAACAGCTATGTAGATAGCCACTGAGTTCCACCAGCACCACATGTCAGACACACATATCAGAAAAATGAAGCAACTATATAGTTGCACTTTGCAATCCAATTTGAAAGATGTTCTCTTAAGAAGTTAGCACAAATCTAGACCCAAAATACCGTTTACCAATTAATTTTTAAGTAATTTGAGTGCAGCATACAAAATACAACATGACAAAATATCAGACACTTTAAGCCGTCTTTTCCAAATTATTTACAAGCTCCCAGCACTTACCTCTACCATTTAATTAGTAGCAGAATAAAGCAAATGGCAGTATATCCTTCAAAATGTCATAACTCCCGGATGCTTTTCCTGAGCCTTGGTTCAACTATCAAATGCAGAAAAAATTTTAAACATTTCCTTGTCTCCTTTGACAATAACAAGGACTCCTTCATGAGAGGCACTAAGCTTGGAAGTTCTATTCAATCATTAAGTGGTACAGGCACCCATGAATCATGCCTTTTGCTCCTCCCATTCAAAATCATATTCAACAGACACTGAGATACTACCAGTGGGTAAGCACTCCACCAGACACTTTTATATATACTATGTCATTCAGTTCACACGAGAAGATTTTTGGCCTGAAACACAAATAATATTTGCACATTTCAAATTGGTGAAAAGGAACTATCATGGGAATCTGACTTGATGTTGGGAGTAAATTACTTGGAAACTAAATTATGCATGGCAGAACGCATGCTTTCAACTCAGTGGTTCTCCTGATGTCCTAAATTCAAGAGAATTTAGTCTATACATCCAGAGGCAAAAAAAATAATAATAATAGTTTTTTTTTAAAGGAGCACCATTATCCTTAGCCATAGAGGTCTGGACAGAGTGTCATGTGGAATAAATACCTCTATAAAGCACGTGTGTTGACATGGACAAAAATAGGAGGACTCTGAAAACCACAAACCTATTCCAAAGAGCAAAAGACCAATCCGAGGAGTCCAAATAAACTATAAAACAAAGTAATTTCTAAACTGCTGCTCATAATGTGTCATAAGTATTTATGTGTAAGCCAATCAGAAGCCCACTGAGGAGCAAATTTAAACAAAAACAAGGAAGATATGTTAAAAACCGTATAAATACCAGCTGGTCAGACTATATAAAGGCCCAACATAGCAGTCACCACCAAACCTCCAAGCAACCCAACTCCTGACACCATGGCCTGCTGTCAAACTAGCTTCTGTGGATTTCCCAGCTGCTCCTGTGGGACCTGTGGCCCCAGCTGCTGCCAGCCAACCTGCTGCCAGACCAGCTGTTGCCAGCCGACCTGCTGCCAGACCAGTTGTTGTCAACCAACCTGCTGCCAGACCAGCTGCTGTGGGACTGGCTGTGGCACTGGCTGTGGCCAGGACTGTGGCTGTGGAGGTGTGAGCTGCCGCACCAGGTGGTGCCGCCCTGACTGCCGCGTGGAGGACACCTGCCTGCCCCCCTGCTGCGTGGTGAGCTGCACACCCCCAACCTGCTGCCAGCTGCACCATGCCCAGGCCGCCTGCTGCCGCCCATCCTACTGTGGACAGTCCTGCTGCCGCCCAGCCTGCTGCTGCTACTGCTGCGAGCCCACCTGCTAAAAAGCCAACTTGCTGATTTTTAACTGCCCAGGACACAGTATCTGAATAATGTCTCCTCAACAACCCGTGGGCCACTAACAAGTTCTCAGACTTCTACTTGGGTTTCTATTATGGGCTCTTATGGGGGCTATCAAGTCGATGAGTTCTATCAGATTCCACTCTACAATGAATACCTTGACTCTCCACTGCGGACACAGAAGTGCTGTGAGCCCACCTGCTGATCATCAAATTGCTTTGGATCTACTATTCCCGATTTTCCCACAGGGTTGAAAATTGCTGCCATATTGTGGATTTTACCCTTGAGAGCTGTCCACAAGTCTATTTTTCCCATGCTTTGTGATCTATTTTTACCTTCTATTTACCTAAAAAAAATTTTCAACATTAAAGGCACCAAAGTTTAGCCAAGCGACATTCCTCAGATGTCACCAGAGATAATGGAGGCTCTTCACCCAACATTCAGCTTCTAAGAAGACTTTCCCATATTTCAAAATCTGATTCCACCCCGTTTGGGGGGATCATAACGATCTTTCCTGTTGGCTATTTTAATTATACCTGTGATACAGTGTATTCTGTCATTTCTTAATAAATGTTATATACTGGGCAAAGAAATCATGGTCAGTGTCTCCACTTGTACATAACTGCTTATAGTTTAAGAATGCCCACTTGTAAGAAATACACTTGTTTCTTTTTAAAAAGAGACTGAAGCCATATGTAGTGTATTCATTCAATAAAAATGTATTGACCACCACTTCAATGAAGTGGTTATGGAAATCAGAAAGATGAAAAATTAATTCTTATCCTGTAGGACCTTACTATCCAGAAAGAAAAAGAATGTGTGAAAATAGCTACCTACAGTGTAGTGTGATGAGATAAACTGTATTTTCTTAGTAGTTCATAGGAAAAAAAAAAAAACTCCCTCTACCTTAGGGATAGATGCTTTTGTGACCAAGATGCCTCAACATTTCAACTTAAAATAGGTTCATCCACATGGGATATGCATGTTGGCAACCCTAAAAGCTTAAGAAAAGGGCATTAAACATTACAGATGAGACAAAGAGGAATATTTCCTATTGCAGAAAGGGAGGAGAGAAAAGAAGAAAGAGAGGCCATGAATATTACTCTGTGATCCCTCCACATTAAGCTGTCACACTCACACAATCTGTGGGTGGTCAATTGTCCTATGTAAGGAGCTGAGTTTCATGTCTGGGTTGATTCAAGGGAATGACAGCCCAGGACCTAACAGAGCAAGGGGAATGGCAGGAAAGTAAGGCCCCAGGAACCTTCAGAAACTGTGGAGAGGCTTTGGGTGGACCCTGCTGTGGGAAGTAGTATCGCTTCAGGACCAGCAGGGGCTATGCTGGGGGCAGCATTAGGGAAGACTTTCCAAGGGAGGTGATCTTTGAAGAGGGCCTTGAAGTCATTCTAAATGGAGCAAAAAGAATTTAAAAAAAAAAAGGCCAACCTACACACCAAAGCAATGAGAACACCAAAAGGTAGCAAAATGTTGGTGGAGCAATAGGAACTCTCACTCATTGCTGGTGGAAAGGCAAAATGGTACAGCCACTCTGGAAGACAGTTGGGTTGTTTCTTACAAAACGTAGACTTAGGGCACAGCGCAGCGACTGTGCTCCTCAGTATTCCAACCCTAATAAGCTGAAAGCTTATGTCCATGCAAAAACCCGCAAATGAATATTTATAGAAGCTTTATTTGTAATTGCCAAAAATTGGTAGCCACCAAAATGTCCCTCCATAGGTGAATGGATAAGCAAACTTTGGTATATCTATTCGATAGGTATCACTATTCTGTGATAAAGAGAAATAATTTCTCAAACCACAAATGGGTATGGAAAAATCTTAAATGCCTATTGTTTAATGTAAGAAGCCAATCTGAAAAGACTTAGTACTATCTGATTCCAACTGTATGACATTCTGAAAAGGGCAAAACTACAGAGACAATAAAAGTTGCCAACATGTCATGCCTGCTGTTCCCTGCGGATGCCTGTAGTATAATACTATATATAAGCTTATAAATTTAAAAAATAAAAGATAGAAATAGAGAGATATGGCCCTGGCCTATGAAATCTAAACAGAAGTCAGGTGTGAGTTTCCTTTATTGATAAAAGGAACACGCATTGCTGGAGCTCCCACTTCCTCTTCACCCTGACGCTCCTTCAACATATACCACTTGAACCCACTTACTGATAGCCTGAAAAAGTCAGTACCACTGTGAACTCAGACCGCTCAAGAAAAGATTTAAATCACACCCAGCAGTAAAGAACCCCAGCCAGCTGAGGTCCTGGCTGAGGGTAAAGAAAACATGAAATGGGTAGTGGGAGAAGAGAGTTCAAGTATTAATTATAGCCCTGTAACCAATTAGAAAAAAAAAAGGATTACAGAAACTATGAATGTTTTTCTATGTATATTTTCCTGGTTATTTTCTTCTCTTTTTTCCTTCCCTTGTTTAATGTCATATGCTGTACCACAAGCTAAGTAAATTTCGTATGGACCTAATTGCATTTAATACTTACATCAATCTTGTGAAATAGATATTTTTGTCAATGAATAAATTAAGTCAAAGGAGGTTCAATGAATTGAAATCAGGGTTTCAAAGGGATATCTGCGCTCCCGTGTTTATTGTAACATTATTCACAATACCCAAGACATGAAAGCAACCTAAATATCCATCAACAGATAAAGAAAGCGTCGTATTTACACACAGTGCAATATTAGTCAACATTAAAAAAGAAAAAATCATGCCACTTGTAGCCACATGGATGAACCTAGAGGACATTATCCTAAGTTAAATAAGCCAGACACAGAAGAGCAAATACTACACCATCCCACTTATATAAGCAATCTGAAATAGTCAAACATAGAAGCAGGGAGTAGAGAGGTAAGTCTTAGGGATCTACTGTACATCATAGTGTCTAAGATTAACAATACAATGCTGTAGTAACCTTAGATATTTGCTAAAAGGATAGATATTAAGTGTCCTTATCACCAAAAAGAGGGCAGGAAGAAAATTTGGAAGTGACAGGTATGTTTATGGCTTTGATTGTGGTGATGGTTTCATGCATATGTACTTATCCCCAAACTCATCAAATTATATATATTAAATATATACAGCTTTTTGTATGTCAATCATATCCCAATCAGGAGTTTTTATTAAGTAAATAGGTAGACAGATAAGTGAAGTTAAATAGTCTGCTTATAGTCACACAGCTCATAAGTAAAAACTAACATATGACTCCAACTCAGACTCCAAAACTCATGAAGAAACAATGAAATGTAGGGGCTGAAAGGAAAGAACGGCGTGGGCAGGTTCAGCTGGCTTAAAGATGGCTATTTAGGAAGCTGTGGGTTTCAGAATAAGTTCCTCTTGATGCCAGTTGTTAAATTAATCTCGCAGCGCCACACCGGCCCTCCATTCGCAGCTTTGTGATGCCTCCATGGCGCTCTGCAAACGCTGTGAGAGCTTTGCCAGCTGCTCCATGTCAGGTTCTGCCACTAGAGGGTGACAGAGGGAAACGACAAAGCTGGAGGAGGAAGGAGGGACTTGTTTCTTCCTATGTTTCCTTCTGTTTAATCAGGGCTTCCTGTACGCTACGGGGTCCCAGGATGATCACCCCAGTAACACTTCTTCATCTTCTTCATACAGCAGCTCCGGGTTTGGGGATAAGTCGAGACATTACCAAAAAACCACCTGCTGCAGGTCTCCCTGGCTTTCCATAGCAACACCTAAAGTTTGCTGTTTTCTCAACACTCACCACTGCGCCTGCCTCAGTCACAGCAGCACCAACCAGCCAGTTCTCTGGAAAACGCCTGAGCTCCAGCCCCACAGGGCAATCCCCTAGCTAAATTCCTAAGTTTTAATTCCTTCCCTCTTCCCTTTAAAGAAACTCTTGTTCTTAAGGCTTTCTGCATTTCCTAGTTACCTAGCTAACAACCTAGTTTAAAAGTCTCTGTATAAAATGCACTCCGTTCAAATAATGGGTATGGCTCTTTTCTCGGGACTGGACCTTAACTATGAAACTCTTACTGCCTTTTAAAAGTCAGATTATTTCATGAACCAGTGTTCAGACTTTTCACTCATTCCCTTTAATCACAGCAGCTGATTACCAAGGGGGGGAATTAGTCCCTAAGCTTTGGAGGTAGCAGCCAAAACATGACAACATTTTAGGCCTGATAGAAGCCGGCTGAGGAACTGGAAACACTACTCAGCACCATTTAGCTTTGTACTTAAGAAAGTTCCGTTTCTATTAAAGACCGTCCATGTAAAATGAGCTCTGCCAGCAAAATCTGACAGCAGACGCTGTGTGTTTTTTGTGAACTACTGACTTATCCCCAAAACCATAACTCTGACTTAAGAAACCTTAAGTCATCATCATTATTCAAATTTTATTGAGCATCTACTTTCTCAACCAGGCTCATTTAAATGAACACATATATTTATACCTTATTTAACTGGGTATAAGTCTCTGCTACTACCTGCATATCCTATAGCTTACAATAAATAAAACATGAGGTTTAAACTGGAAGCGTGAGATCCCCAAGAGAAAGAGGCAACATGTCCAGCAAGCAGAAGCCAGGCTAAGCTCACATGTGCCCCGTGAGTTTACATGCTGTGAGACCTGCCCTGGCATGTTGGAATGGGAACATATATGTCCAAGTGATGCAGCACCCAAGGGTTACCCCCGTTGGGTCACATACACCTACGAAACTATAGCCAATATCAGCTGTCCCCAAGGGGCAAACCAGCACTACTTTTATTTGAAAGAAATCCAGTTGAGAGTAGTTTTCAGTGCCAGCTCGTGCACTATCACCACACACTGGGAAAAAATGTCCTGATGCAACTGTAAGAGGCCCCCAAAGTCTGCCGTTCTACCTAAACCCAGAGTCCTCTGCCCGCACGCTCAGCCAGGGGGACTTCCTGCCATGAAAGCATTGATGTCGGTGGCAGTCCTGATACCGGCCTTTCTTCTCCCCGTGTGTGTATATCA